TCACATCCTCTTCAGTGTTATTGTACACAAATAAATGCATTATTAATTTAACACGCTCAAAGCTGTTTGGTGGCCTTAATGCCCAGTGAAGAAACAGCAGCCTACTTTTTAGTTCATTCACACTATTGAAAAATGGGCGTATAAGAGAAAAGGCACAGATTATTTTTTTTTAAATTATGTTTGGGTATGATGACTCGTCACTAGCTCTCTTTATTCTCATCAAATTTAAAGATAGAATCCTCATGCCCTCCAGTTTATCTCAGAGTGACACAACGAACATGGACAAGACGTGTTCGGCAAGAGGTTACGCAAGACAAGTCTCGGAGTGATTGTCTGTATCACTTCAGTTCACTTTCTTCTGGTGTTTAGGCCCACACTCTAGTCTCATTCCGTCAGCCTAAAGCACAGTTACGTAGAGAAGCAGCAAGCGATGTCTTCCAATCTTTAGTGGAGTAATATTATCAAATAAATATTCCGGTTGAAAGATGAGAGATTGGATGAGGTTTCATTCAGATAGACTTTTCTTTACCCCTGTTGCATGTCCACGTTTCTTACTCTCTATTTCACCTTTTGGCTTGCCTTTTTGTGTTGCATGATTCCCATTTCCTAACAATCATATCCCCAAATAGTTTTCAAGCACCATCATCTTTCTTTAACATGATCATGATTTCTAAATGGAGTTGCTGTTTTTTGGGGTTCAAGTCAATTGTCTCAGTGCTCGTCTCAAGACATGATCTTTCACTGGCATGTTAATGGTTAACAATAACAACAGAGTGTACTTTAGATTGGACTTGGGTTTGGATGGAATACTACAATTTTAACACTCTATTGTCACAGACTGACCTCACAGTTGAAGTCGGAAGTTTACATACACCTTAGCCAAATACATTTAAACTCAGTTTTTCACAATTCCTGACATTCAATCCTAGTAAATATTCCCTGTTTTAGGTCAGTTAGGATCACCACTTTATTTTGAGAATGTGAAATGTCAGAACAATAGTAGAGAGAGTGATTTATTTCAGCTTTTATTTCTTTCATCACATTCCCAGTGGGTCAGAAGTTTACATACACTCCATTAGTATTTTGTAGCATTGCCTTTAAATTGTTTAACTTGGGTCAAACATTTCGGGTAGCCTTCCACAAGCTTCCCACAATAAGTTGGGTGAATTTTGGCCCATTCCTCCTGACGGAGCTGGTGTAACTGAGTCAGGTTTGTAGGCCTCCTTGCTCGCACACGCTTTTTCAGTTCTGCCCACAAATGTTCTATAGGATTGAGGTCTGGACTTTGTGATGGCCACTCCAATACCTTGACTTTGTTGTCCTTAAGCCATTGTGCCACAACTCTGGAAGTATGCTTGGGGTCATTGTCCATTTGGAAGACCCATTTGCGACCAAGCTTTAACTTCCTGACTGATGTCTTGAGATGTTGCTTCAATATATCCACATAATCTTCCTTCCTCATGATGCCATCTATTTTGTGAAGTGCCATCTATCCTGCAGCAAAGCACCCCCACAGCATGATGCTGCCACCCCCGTGCTTCACGGTTGGGATGGTGTTCTTCGGCTTGCAAGCCACCCCATTTTTCCTCCAAACATAACGATAGTCATTATGGTCAAACAGTTCTATTTTTGTTTCATCAGACCAGAGGACATTTCTCCAAAAAGTACAATCTTTGTCCCCATGTGCAGTTGCAAACCGTAGATTGATTTGCACTTTTCACACCAAAGTACATTAATCTCTAGGAGACAGAACGCGTCTCCTTCCTGAGCGGTATGACGGCTGCATGGTCCCATGGTGTTTATACTTGCGTACTATTGTTTGTACAGATGAACGTGGTACCTTCAGGCGTTTGGAAATTGCTCCCAAGGATGAACCAGGCGTGTGGAGGTCTACAGTTATTTTTCTTGGCTGATTTTTTTTGATTTTCTCTATGATGTCAAGCAAAGGGGCACTGAGTTTGAAGGTAGGCCTTGAAATACATCCACAGGTACACCTCCAATTGACTCAAATTATATAAATTAGCCTATCGGAAACTTCTAAAGCCATGAATTTTACAAGCTGTTTAAAGGCATAGTCAACTTAGTGTATGTAAACTTCTGACCCACTGGAATTGTGATACAGTGAATTATAAGTGAAATAATCTGTCTGTAAACAATTGTTGGAGAAATTAGTTGTCATGCACAAAGTAGATGTCCTAACCGACTTTTAACAAACTAGAGTTTGTTAAAAAGAAATGTGTGGAGTGGTTGAAAAACGAGTTTTAATGACTCCAACGTAAGTGTATGTAAACTTCTGACTTCAACTGTATATTTTTCGTAGTGCAAAATAATTTTGCAAAGTGAAAAAACAATACTGTACATTTAACATTTTTCTTCAATGTGCTATAAGGAGGTGATTATTTAACTAGAGTTGAGTAAACTGAGCAATACATAAATAGTCGGCTCTTTGTAACACACATTGTAGAATATATATATATTTTTTAATCACGCTGCCAGATTGAGTTTTGCACTTTTTACAATTATTTTGCACTACGAAAAGTAGCCTATAAAGATACCCTGGCAAGCTCTATACAGTGTCTTGCAAAAGTATTCGTACCCCTTGGATTTCTTCACATTTTATTGTTAAAAAGTGGGATAAAAATGTATTTAATAACAAACAAACAAAGGAATTAAATAACTAAAATATAGTCATTGCATATGTATTCAGCTCTTTGTAACACAATAAAATGTGAGGAAATCCATGGGGGTATGAATACTTTTGCAAGGCACCGTATGTCTCTGATCACAAGTTGGAATGAGTCTAGATGGGCATTTCCAGAGTAACGGAATTATGCTTTGACTCTTTAAAATGTATGCCAAACAAAAAGCATTGATTTCAAAGTTTAACAAACCATACAACTCTATGCACAAGGACTACTTTGAACAATTTACACAGAACATTTCACAAAAACACATTTACTGGAAGAACTGTGCAGATGCCAAGTTTGTTAAAAGAATTACGGTAAAAACTCCCTCCGTTTTTTTGTTTTCCAAAAGTTTTGTTCAATATCTGCTCCAATTAAGATTCAAGATGTCTGCAGAAAGAATGGCGTGTCAGCCATGACATGACACCTTGAATTTGAAAAAACAAACATTATTATGGTTAATGAACTACAGTAGGTGAAGTGGATTTACATCCAGTAACGGAATTACGGTTACAGAATTTCATAATCGGCCCCTGATCTGTACTGTACAGTGATGCATAATTATGGATATGAATATAATTCTCTTCATGGTGATGTACAGTGCATTCATAAAGTATTCAGACCCCTTCACTTTTTCCACATTTTGTTACATTACAGCCTTATTCTAAAATTGATTAAATTGCTTTTTTCCCTCACCAATCTACACACAATACCCCATAATGACAAAGCAAATACAGGTTCTTAAATCTTTGTAAATGTATAAAAAAATAAAAACTGGAATATCACATTTACATAAGTATTCAGACCCTTTACTGAGTACTTTGTTGAATAACCTTTGGCAGCGATTACAGCTTCAAGTCTTCTTGGGTATGACGCTACAAGCTTAGCACACCTGTATTTGGGGAGTTTCTCCCATTCTTCTCTGCAGATCCTCTCAAGCTCTGTTTTTTATTTTTAATACATTTGCAAACATTTCTAAAAACCTGTTTTCACTTTGTCATTATGGGGTATTGTGTGTAGATTGTTGAAGGGAAAAAACAATTTAATCCATTATAGAATAAGGCTGTAACGTAATAAAATGTGGAAAAGGTCAAGGGGTCTGAATACTTTCCAAATGCACTATATAGGTGTAGTCAAACAATATGCCTTCTTCATTCATACTCAGACAGCTACACTCCTGTCATTCCATCCCATTGTTTATTAACTAATGTTTTATTAGATTTCTCTGTCCCCATGTTTTCTCATAATTGTATTACTTTTTATTTGTCTCTTTTTGCGCTGGTTGTTGTTCTGTTGGATGTTGTGTTGCTCTGCCTCCCCCCTGCCCGCCTGCATTCTGGTGGGCCAGATGTTCTGGTGCAGAAGAGTGACTTTCTTCTAGCGGAGGGGAAGCCCGAGTCCTGTGGTAAGCTGCTCTTGGTTGGTGTCGCTAGGCTAGCTAGCTGCCTGCTGGCTGTAACTGCTGGTGCTGTTTCTCTCTCTCTCTCTATCACTCACTCACTCGCTCAACCCATATGCTCCTTCCGACCCACAACCCTTCCCCAGCCTGGAGCTCAAATCTCGCCTGGCCCAGCCTCTCTTTTGTTTTGCCCCCCCCCCCTCCCATCCGTGTAAGCTACACCCCCGACCAAACGTCCCACCCAAACAACTCAGAGCACAGCCCCCCTTTATGGGTGTATACACACACTGCATTGGATGCGATGCCTTTGTCACAACAATAGTAAAGCAAGTTTTAAAGGCCAGCTAGGATGTTTTGATGTAAAGCGCTCAGGTTTGTGGAGGTCATGTTGTTGTTTTATGGAGGAAAGTCTATGTATATCAGGACAAAGATAGCATGATAATATGCCAGCAGAGATGCATGCAGTTAGTCCGTCGTGGCCAAACAGTATGAGTGTGAGCTTCTAGACTAGAGAGACTATCCTACCAGAGTTGGGTCATGTTCAATTATCTGCCAGATTAGATTTTACCGATGTCTCTCGCTCCTTGGATGAAATTCAATCTCCTCTGTGCAGAATCTATTGAAACGACCTCAATAACAAATTGGAGATTTTAATTTAAAAAATTGTAAACAGCACTGAATAGACTAGGAATGTGTTCATTGACCATCAGTAGAAGCCCTCATAGTAATGCCTAGTTTAGCCTATACCTTCCACTTCAATCGAACGTCCACTCCCTTCCGCACAGGGTTCCAGAGATTTGGGAGTCCGTGCGGATGGGAGCGGACTTCAATATTGTATACTTTTGTTTGAGCGGACCTCACGGACGGCACAAAAGTGGAAGGTGTAGGACTAACTAAGACTTAAATCTCATGAAATCATGTATGACAGTGAATCAGCAGTTTGGGTGTGGTGTCTGAATGTCATGGGCATGGCTCTCCCCTACACGACCCAGGCAGCACTCAGCAGTTCCACATCCTGCCTGTTGGAAGAGCTCAAGGAGTGCACAGTACTAGTTTTCACTCACTGACCCTGTCCAGCCCAGTCAATTACTAACTCTTTGCTCTCCAAACACCTGTCTGCCCTTATCTCCCAGTACAAGAGGTCTTGGTGTGTGTGTGTGTGTGTGTGTGTGCATCAAGCGTGCACGTGTTTTGTGTCCGTTCTTGCGTGTGCGTGCCCTTCTGTTTCAATTATTTTTGTGTGGTTTTAATTGCAGTGCCTTGACCTCTCAACACACTCTACATACACTGTTCTACTAACTCTCCACCCGCTAACTGGTGTGTGTACATTAGCCTACAGATTTCAATAACTCTTGCACTTATTTGACCATAACATTTATAGTGACCAATGAGTGCAGTAGTAGTCATAATTTGAATCCTTCACCTTCACCCTCGGTTCACAGTGTTGTTCTTTAGGCCTGCTACCTCTCCTTCACAGGACACCACTGGGTGTCTGTGTTCACCTACAAACTGGTGTCGTGACGTGACTTTCATTAATCTGATGACTGATTTATCGAATCAACTAACTATTAATTCATAACCTCTTATCATATCATTCTGAACGGTCGTAACCTTCTTGTATCTGCAAAAACCCCAGCTTTACTTATGATTCAGCACTACACAAATTGGCTTAATTATTTATTTACTAGCTAACTAAATAATAACACAGAATAACATACACACTTAATACATGAGAAAAAGGTCCCTAGCGGACTAACAACAACATGACTGCTTGGTTACCAAAAGAGGGAGTGGTAGAGAGAGAGAAACACTTATCGTACATTTGGAAACTACGCTCACAGTAATAATTTACTTTGCACAACAACCACCGCCCGTTTGGAGTAAGAAATCATGAATGTATTTACTTGTGGATGTCTTTGTTCGTCGTCTATCTCTGTCGGACCAAACCTTCTTGGGAAGGGTTTGGTTGGGTCTCCTGTGGGTGTAAGACTCTGATTGTCCACCAGAGGTCACAATGTCCTTCTTAGTTGTTTGGTCTGTAGTGGAGTGTTTCTTCAGAACAGTTACTCACCTGTACCAGTGATTGTCTGAGAGGGGAGCTTTCTTCTTCCCACCTCGTGTGGTTAGTCAGAGTTTGAGCCACTTTACACGCACAGCTGCAGTCTGGCAATGTTCAGGTCTAGTCTGGGAGTTAGTCTTCTTCACCTTGTGTTGAGGTTCAACGTTCCAACCATTTTCAGACGTGTAGCGACCGCCTCGCGTCTTTCTGGTCTGATATGTTAATTCTTAACATATCTTTTATACACTGGTTAAAAGGATGTTCCGTGATGCTAACACGCTCCCTGAGCTCCCTCAGGCGTGGCTACTTACTGTGCACAGCTTTATATGAAAAACAATATCACATTCCTATATTAACAAAGATACTTTAATCATTTTTCATATTATATACACAACGTATTGGATAAAAACTTGACAGATGAAGGCGATATACTTTCCAAGTTACAGTATTTTCTTGATATCATTCTTAATGACATCACAAAATAATAAACAATATTCTTTAGATCCCCACTGACCATTCCCCACATTCTTAAATATTGTTCCAGTATTCACTTTTTGGACGGTCGATTTTTGGGCGGCAAAAGTCTCTGGGTACAAAGGACATTCCTTTAGCCAATACTGGAGTGTAAAGAGAGAGAGGCCTCTCCTATGACATGGTGTGAGGTGTCAAAAAACCCCACATCAGTTCCCTCCTCCCCTCTTCTGTGGGTGGGAGAGGCCTGGTTACTGTCAACCATTGGCAAGCTGATCTGAGCCATTGGATCCTCACACAGGACAGTCATGACACTGGCCTGCGTTGAACTGAATCTGAGGCCCTGTTTGTGACATCATTGTTCTCTCTCTGTCCTGCAAAGGGCTTGTCCAGCGATGTGTGATCATTCAGAAAGATGAGAATGGCTTTGGGCTGACTGTGAGCGGAGACAACCCAGTGTTTGTGCAGCTCGTCAAGGAAGGTAAGGTCGACCCACAATGGAAATAGCCGTTGTCTTTGCCTTCACTACTTTTCATTCTCAGTAGTCTCCGGGCCAAACTTCAGCATCAGACCATCAGCCAAATACTCGTAAAAAGTCAGGAACTAACCAGGAAGTTAGTTTGAGGCTCTGGTGTACTACCATATCATGTGTGAGAGATGGGAATTCTAGCAGGCCCTGAATCCAAGGCAGCTCTTGCCTTGTCCCTTTATAGAGGCTGATGTGTGTTGTCAGCAGTTAGAGCTGATGCATAGAGAGCTGCACACATTAGGGACTAGTCTGAATGTAGAGCAGTGTGAAGAGAGAGAAGAGAAAAGGGAAGAGTTCGGGGTCTCAATTTGTGTGTACTCTTATGGATGTGCTTGGTCATGTTTCTCCCAGTTTAAGTTATTGTCTATGCTGTGGATACAAGTGGTGTAGACTACTTCTCAGTATCCCTTACACAGCCCAAAGGTGCTAACATACAGTAATGCATTTATATACTTACTTTATTGATACAAGTTTATGGTATATCACTCCTTTCAGTCAAATTTCGGACAAATGTCGGATATAAAAGACCTGTATACTCTTTGCGACAGGGTGATATTACAGTACACATATAAAGCAGTAGCGTGACACGGTGAGGAATTTCTGCCTGGTTGCCTAAGCTCCAGACTGACGTGTATAAAGCCACAATGGTGTTTATGTTGTGACAGCACTGGTTCCACCTATGTCTCAGTTGTCTCCTGACTCTATAATATTCCTCTGAATCCTATCCCATAATGAACCCTCTCTCTGGCTCCTAAAGCCCTATGTCTGGGGAGGAGCGGCCTAATGGGCCCCTTCAGCAACACAACCACTGTTATGGTTAGGGGCCCGGAGTTTCTCCTGATCAGGTCTGGAAAAACTCAGGCCCCTAGTTATGGTGTATGATATGTTACGATATACGATGTACTTCAACATTACTTTTATAGTGCAAACAGTGGTATTGTAATGGGTATATTGGACGTTGTTAATCTTATACACTGTTCTTTTTCTCTCCTAATGGGATGTTATGTGTTTTCCTGACTCTTGTCCACTCTGATTCCAAGATGGCGCTGCAGAGCGTGCGGGTGTACAGACGGGTGACCGGATCATCAAGGTACACTAATCTATACAGTTGCGGCCAAATATATTGGCACCCATGCACTTTTCTTAAATAACTCCTATTTCTTCTCAAATAAGTTCAAATTGAAGAAACATTTTGGTCTCCACACCTTGTTGTTGGATTTTCAACATTGCAGAACCAATTTTATTTTCGCTAACTTTGAGTTTGTAATTTTAATTTGAGAAAAGAAAGACACATGGCATGGACAACACTATTGGCACCCCGGAGCTAGTACTTGGTTGCACAGCCTTTGGCCAAAACAACTTGTAGCCATCAGTGAGCTTGCTGCACCTTTTTACTGGCAATTTTGCCCACTTTTCAGTAGCAAACTACTCTAATTCTTCAATGTTATAGTGGTACCCTACACCAACTGCTGTTTCAGCTCTTGCCATTGGTTATAGATGTGATTTAGAACTGGACTCTTCACTGGCCACTCCAGAATAGTCCAGTGTTTCTTCTTGAACCATTCCAGAGTGCTTTTGATGTGTGTTTGGGGTTGTTGTCCTGCTGGAAGACCCACAACCTTCAACAGAGACACGTTTGTTGGACACAGGGTTGAACATTGCACTCCAAAACACTTTGATAATCAGCTCATTTCATGACATCACAGGGTAGGATTAAAAGTAAAAAATCTGTGATTTTCAAAAGCTGCAACGAGTTTCCAACCCAAGGGAGGGGTTTTTCCTCCTCACGTCACTGCAAATCTCATTGTATTTGAATATCACTGTTTTAAAAATGTATATTTCTTTCTACTCAACTTAGAAATGTGACGTTTCCACATATGTGGACAGTGGTAATATTGTGCTGGAGAGAATAAAAATTAGGTAGAAAATTGGTGGAGTTGCCCTTTTTAAGTTAAATTTTTTTTAATTGGTTCTGCAATGTTGAAAAACCAATAACAAGATGTTATTGTTATTTGAGAAGAAATAGGGAATTATTTAAGAAAAGTACAAGGGTGCCAATAGTTTTGGTCGCAACTGTATATATACCCCTTTCATAGTAGTTGCAGGGACCTGTTCAATTGGCACCAAACTGAAAATGTTTTGAAATGGAGAAGTGAAAATTGGTGCTCTTATTGGATACGTTTCGTGCCTACTGATCACGTCCCAGGTGCCTTGTTGCCATCTCCTTATATTCTCCAGTCACAACTTGTTTTGTGAACCGAGGCTTCTAGCCAAAACACCAGCTCCACAATGCCACCTGCTGGTTGGATTAGATCCCATCAAAAAACACCAAAACCTAAACATTGCGTCAGTCACCGGGGTGTGTGGGAAGAGGGGTGGATTAATGAATTACTGAATTGACATTAGGCTGGACAGGAAATTAACTCATTTGATTTCCAGGCAGCGTTGAATGGATTTTCACATTATGACTGTTTTCTTTTCTTCCAGGTGAACGGGACCCTAGTAACACATTCAAACCACGTGGAAGTAGTACAGCTCATAAAATGTAAGCATTGTAGAATTACTTTAGTTTTATTGTTTGTAATTGACACCGGAAAGTCGTAGCCTGGTTCCTGTTTGTGCTGTATTTCCAGCTAATATGGTCGTTGGGAACGGCACCTCCGTACCTTCAGGCTCTGATCAGTCCCTACACCCAAACGAGGGCATTGCGTTCATCCACCTCTGGCCTGCTGGCTCCCCTTCCTCTGCGGAAGCATAGTTCCCGCTCAGCCCAGTCAAAACTGTTCGCTGCTCTGGCACCCCAATGGTGGAACAAGCTCCCTCACGACGCCAGGACAGCGGAGTCACTCACCACCTTCCGGAGACATTTGAAACCCCACCTATTTAAGGAACACCTGGGATAGGATAAAGTAATCCTTCTACCCCCCCCCCCCCACCAAAAAAACAAACAAAAACAAAAAAGTATAATTGTAAAGTGGTTATCCCACTGGCTATAGGGTGAATGCACCAATTTGTAGTCGCTCTGGATAAGAGCGTCTGCTAAATGACGTAAATGTGCCCTTGAGCAAGGCACTTAACCCTAATTGCTCCTGTAAGTCGCTCTGGATAAGAGCGTCTGCTAAATGACTAAAATGTAATGTAAAAATGTTGTGCCAAAAACCATAAAAGTTGGCAATACAGAACAAACAGATCTGGGACCAGGCTAAGAAAGTCATGCAATAGTCAAAATTAGGCCTATTATTCCGAATATACCTTTTTGTAACCATACCTCCGTATCTATCTTATTTGTTCAGCGGGCTCCTATGTGGCCCTCACAGTGTTGGGGCGACCTCCTGGGTTGCCCCAGATCCCCCTGTCGGAGGGCGAGGCTAAGTTGGGGTTCCCGGGGGCCCAGACAAGGTCATCCTCTGTCACCTCTCCAAACTCCCCTGGACAGCCAACGGGGGAGCGCCCATACAGCCCCCATGACCGCATCACCTCTCCTCTACTGAGATGGGTATGACCGCCTCCTCTCGCCTCTTACCATCTTCTGAGCTGCATTCCTCCTTTGTGCTCCATCTTCTCCATGTCATCCCTTTTTGCCTGTCTGTCTTCAGTGTTTGTTTACATTGTTAACGTTTGGCTGTTCATTCAAACTCTGTCCTCCATTGCTTCTTCACTTAATTTCTTCTACTGTGTGTTTGGTTCCATGTCCTGAAAAAGCCCTGTGTGTCTCCTTCCCATTGTACAGGAAGAGAACAACAGCGTACACAACCAAAAGGTGGACATCCTGCAGAAGATGTTGTCCAAGGAGCAACACGATTTGCAGGTTAGCGTTCTATCTGGTGCAAGAGAAACTGTCTCTGCTAGTATTTGGACATATGCAAAATTCTGGGCCCGTATTAATGAAGCGTCTCAGAGTACGAGTGCTGATTTTAGTTTAGCCTTTTAGATCATAATGAATAAGAATTCATGGAGACCTGATCCTAGATCAGCACTCCTACTCGAGATGGTTTATAAATATGGGTCCTAGTCTATGAAGTGTTTTTCAGAGACTGCTCACTCTGGACATATGAGGTCAAATACTGAGCGACTGTCAAGAAAAGCAATGTTTTGTCGTTGGATGAGGTGACATTTTTAAGCATGGGAAGTCATGGTCTTTGTCCTAGAATTGTATTCTAATAGGTTTTGAGACGTTCAAAACAACACTGGAGTGTGTGGCTTGTGTTGATAAGAACATGGCTTTTCCTGTGGTTTTGGACTAGAACAGTCACACTAGCAGGCAGCCACTCAGAGCAAACCAGTCAACCCCACCACCTCCCCTCCAATAATTATCTCTATTGCTTCACAGAGACACGTTACCCACTCCACTAAGCACACTACACTGCACTGCTGCTGCTACGTGTGTAAACACGACAGGGCCAGCATAGTATAGCCTCAGCAAGTGTGTTGAGAAGGAAAAAAACGTTTGAAAAGAAGTGCAAGTCTATACCGCTCAAAGTCAAAAATACTTTTATGGACTTGGCTATTTTGGATTCCAATGACTGTCTGACTGAGTGTCTCTGCTGCCCTCCCTCCCTCTCTCTCTCTCTCTCTCACAACAGGCAATGAAGGAGGAGTACAGCAGGAATCCAACGCCCAAACTACTGAAGGACATCCAGGAAGCCAAGAAGCACATTCCACAGCTGCAGGGGCAGCTGAGTAAGGCCACTGGGGGAGCACAGGTAACTCGCTTCACCCCCCTCCCTGAATAAAAAAAATCATACTGTATCTTAAGTTTTAATATTGTATATTAGTGTGAGAATCTGTGGTTTTCTGTGAGCGCCATGATCAGGCCGATGAGTTTTCCCTGACTATGTAACCTTACCAGGAAAAACTCTGTGCCTGAGTTTTAGCCTGGCCCTAAGCCATGATATTTATTTCACCAAGGTAGCTGGTCTGTGCATGTTCTGCTCAATTTCTGTAGACTGTGTGTGTTGAAACCATGACAATATAGATGTATGCTCAATGCTTACAGTCAGACAAAATACTTGTTGGTTTTCTCTTTAGATTATGGGGAATAGTTATATTTTCTGCGTGTGACTTACTGTGATTTCATTCTAAGGATGCCATGCAATTGGGCGACGGAGATGACGGTAGCATGGTGGACATGGACCACACACCTTCCTCCAGGGGGGACAGTAGCAACGACCTCTCGTGGAGCAGCAGTACCATGTCCCCTGTAAGTGTTACTTTCAACTTCTGCTGGTGTGTGTGGGCATAGCTGTGGAGTGAATGCATTAGTAGGGACAGTCAATTTGTCAACTGTGAACTTAATCTCACGGGGGAGTCTCGCACCTAGCAGACAGTACACCACAACCACAACCCAAACCCGCAACCCACTTCTGTGTCCCAAACCTGGGTTCTGTTCAACAGGACATGCAGCCGAAAACTAAAATTAGTGTTTGTTATTGGACAGGTCCAGGTGGTAATTCCTCCCTGTTTCAGTCCAGTTTCTTCCATTTGGTGCCTAATGAACACGGCCCAGGTCTAGCTAGAGGAATGTTTGATAGCTTACCCAATGTTCTCCATTTGCAGGATCTCCGCGGTTTTGCACCTGCCTCCCCGGAGAGCCTGTACCAAAGAGACTTGTTGTCCTACCACAGCCCAAAGAGCACGCCCCAAGACCGCTTCAACTCTTGCCACTCCCCCGACCCAGAAGACACTCCAGACCTGGTGAGACCGAGACCTGGCTCATATTCATTAGGGCATGCAACTGAAAACATTTCAAAACGTTTTGCAACGTAAAACCAAAATGAGCATTTCTTATTGGACAAGTCCAGGTAGTCCCTCCCTGTTTCAGTCAATTTTCTTCCATTTGGTGTCTAATGAACATGACCCATGCCCTGCAGATGTGGAGCCACCTTCATTAAACACCCCTTTTATGGTAGATGAGGTTGTTAGCTACTCAGTGAAAGGAGCAGTCAACGCTCAATGAGTGAGAGATCTAAGTGCTGTGTTCCTCCTCTTTCCCCCACTCCTCCAGGACTCCCTGTCCCCCTCCACTGTTAGCAGCCCCTTCTCACGCTTCGTCTCCCAGATCATCGGAGCTGAGGACGACTACTTTGACTCTGATCAGGAACAGGTAGGCCCTAAATACATCAAAAATAAGGGAAAACTGTGCATTTTGGAAGATTGAAGGCCCAGATTATGGCCTATTGATCCAAACGTTTGGTTTTTAACATTCTTTACAAACACTGAGGAGCATGCCAGGGTGCTGGAGTTTTTTTGTCAAATTTTTTCTCCCCCTAAAAGGGTGACAGACTGACAAGCCTCACTGAGAGGATTTTCTAACAAGGTCAAGCTAGCTCGTAACACACACACACTCTGACACACACACACACACACACACACACTCTGACACACACACTGTGTTTATCTCAGGTCAATGGCCAGTGCAGCTGTTTCCAGAGCATGGAGCTGCTCAAGTCCAGACCTGCCCACCTGGCAGCATTCCTGCATCATGTCGTCTCACAGTTTGACCCTGCACCGCTGGTAAGAGTCCCTACACGCACACACACACTCACCCTCACCTGACCATGTTTGTGTTGTGACCAGTTACAGACAATAGAAGTACAGGAATGTCAGTTTAGTGCTGACACAAAGACATGATGGTGTACAATGTGTTTGTGTCAACTCACATTGATCATGTGAAATGTTTCTCTTCAGCTCTGCTACCTCTACGCTGACCTGTGCAAGCAGACCAACTCCAAAGAAACCAGACGGGTGTTCATGGACTTCCACAACTTCTTCATCGACCGGGGAGCTGTGAGTAGAGTTAAACTAGCCTACATCTGGGCCCGGATTCGCCAAGAGTCTCAGAGTAGGAATGCTGATCTAAGATCATGTACCCCCTGTCCATACAGTGGGGGGAAAAAAGTATTTAGTCAGCCACCAATTGTGCAAGTTCTCCCACTTAAAAAGATGAGAGAGGCCTGTAATTTTCATCATAGGTACACGTCAACTATGACAGACAAAATGAGAAAGAAAATTTTTTCCCCAGGTAATCACATTGTAGGATTTTTAATGAATGTATTTGCAAATTATGGTGGAAAATAAGTATTTGGTCAATAACAAAAGTTTCTCAATACCTTGTTATGTACCCTTTGTTGGCAATGACACAGGTCAAACGTTTTCTGTAATCTTCACATGGTTTTCACACACTGTTGCTGGTATTTTGGCCCATTCCTCCATGCAGATCTCCTCTAGAGCAGTGATGTTTTGGGGCTGTCGCTGGGCAACACGGACTTTCAACTCCCTCCAAAGATTTTCTATGGGTTTGAGATCTGGAGACTGGCTAGGCCACTCCAGGACCTTGAAATGCTTCTTACGAAGCCACTCCTTCGTTGCCCGGGCGGTGTGTTTGGGATCATTGTCATGCTGAAAGACCCAGCCACGTTTCATCTTCAATGCCCTTGCTGATGGAAGGAGGTTTTCACTCAAAATCACGATACATGGCCCCATTCATTCTTTCCTTTACACGGATCAGTCGTCCTGGTCCCTTTGCAGAAAAACAGCCCCAAAGCATGATGTTTCCACCCCCATGCTTCACAGTAGGTATGGTGTTCTTTGGATGCAACTCAGCATTCTTCGTCCTCCAAACACGACGAGTTGAGTTTTTACCAAAAAGTTCTATTTTGGTTTCATCTGACCATATGACATTCTCCCAATCCTCTTCTGGATCATCCAAATGCACTCTAGCAAACTTCAGACGGGCCTGGACATAAGCAGGGGGACACGTCTGGCACTGCAGGATTTGAGTCCCTGGCGGCGTAGTGTGTTACTTTGGTCCCAGCTCTCTGCAGGTCATTCACTAGGTCCCCCCGTGTGGTTCTGGGATTTTTGTCATGCAATAAAATGCAAATTAATTACTTAAAAATCATACAATGTGATTTTCTGGATTTTTGTTTTAGATTCTGTCTCTCACAGTTGAAGTGTACCTATGATAAAAATTACAGACCTCTACATGCTTTGTAAGTAGGAAAACCGGCAAAATCGGCATTGTATCAAATACTTGTTCTCCAGACAGTACATCCCCTGACAGTGTTGATATGAAATGCAACACTAGTGTTGCTATACAGCGGTGTGTTTGTGTTATTGGTTTATTCTATCAGGAGTCCCTTCTCTCTGCAGTAATACATTTCTCCTCAGCTGAAACTGTAATTTCTCTGATCCACTGTTCTGTTGACTCCCAATACAATATATCATGCTGCCTAAGACCAACAAGACTACTTGAAGGACCCAGAGATTTTCTTCTGTAGTTTGTTTTCACATACACTACCGTTCAATAGTTTGGGGTCACTTAGAAATGTCCTTGTTTTTGAAAGAAAAGCGATTTTTTTGTCCATTAAAATAACATAAAATTGATCAGAAATACAGTGTAAACATTGTTAATGTTGTAAATGGCTATTGTAGCTGGAAACGGCTGATTTGTAATGGAATATCTACATAGGCGTACAGAGGCCCATTATCAGCAACCTTCAGTCCTGTGTTCCAATGGCACATTGTGTTTGCTAATCCAAGTTTATCATTTTAAAAGGCTAATTGATCATTAGAAGACTCTTTTGCAATTATGTTAGCACAGCTGAAAACTGTTGTGCTTACTAAAGAAGAAATAAAACTGGCCTTCTTGAGACTAGTTTAGTATCTGGAGCATCAGCAATTGTGGGTTCGATTACAGGCTCAAAATGGCCAGAAACAAATAACTTTCTTCTGAAGCTCGTCAGTCTATTCTTGTTCTGAGAAATGAAGGCTATTCCATGCGAGAAATTGCCAAGAAACTGAAGATCTCGTACAACGCTGTGTACTACTCCCTTCACAGAACAGTGCAAACTGTCTCTAACCAGAATAGAAAGAGGAGTGGGAGGCCCCGGTGCACAACTGAGCAAGAGGACAAATACATTAGAGTGTCTAGTTTGAGAAACAGACGCCTCACAGGTCCTCAACTGGCAGCTTCATTAAATAGTACCCGCAAAACACCAGTCTCAACGTCAACAGTGAAGAGGCGACTCCGGGATGCTGACCTAGGCAGAGTTGCAAAGAAAAAGCCATATCTCAGACTGCCCATCTTAATATTTTCTTTTTATTGGCCAGTCTGAGATATGGCTTTTTCTTTGCAAGTCTGCCTAGAAGGTCAGCATCCCGGAGTCGCCTCTTCACTGTTGACGTTGAGACTGGTGTTTTGCGGGTACTATTAGCAAACACAACATGCCATTGGAACACAGGACTGATGGTTGCTGATAATGGGCCTCTGTACGCCTATGTAGATATTCCATTAAAAATCAGCCGTTTCCAGCTACGATAGCCATTTTCAACATGAACAATGTCTACACTGTATTTCTGATCAATTTGATGTTATTTTAAAGGAGAAAAATATTGCTTTTCTTTCGAAAACAAGGACATTTCTAAGTGACCCCAAACGTTTGAACGGTAGTGTACACTACTAACACATACACGGCATACATTTAGGAATTGTTCTGCACGTGCCAGGCGTTTTACTCTTTTTGTTAAATGTCAAGTATATTTACTCTGGCGTTTCGGTTAGCCACATATAAACAAGTCTGTCTTTGTCAATGCCCGTCTAAATGTGTTTTATTTTCATACAGAATTTAAAAGTAGTTGTTCCCGAGTCCATCTCCTCTGACCTTGGTGAGTATTTGTGGCTTTGCTTTCATTTCCATTAGTTTCTCTTGCTGACAAATCAATGCCAATTCATTTCTGGGTATTTTGAGGAATGACTGTTGTTATCTGATGGAATGCCAAATATAGCCGACTCAAGTTTCCTTACTTCAACCGTGTACTATCAGCATTATCACAATGTGCCTCTAAGTGTGTGGTAGATTGTTTAACCCATCTTCCTAATACTACTATCCCACATCAGGTGTTAAGAAATCAAACAAAGTGATTATATGACAAGTGCACATTTGAATTTTCACCTTGATAAGCTGTATTTGGTGCCAACCCACTACCTAACTGTGTTAATGTGTTGTGTGGTGGCTGTGCAGACCGGCGGAGGACGGAGCTGATCCCTGAGGAGCTGAACAGACAGTACGTCCAGATGGTGCAGGACACCCTGCTCCCTGACATCCAGCGGAACCTGGAGGACTTCAGGTCAGTCACCTTGCTCGCATTCTTCCAAAATGGCCGCCTTTCCCATTGGTGCCTATGTATTGGTCAAATGTAAAGATAGATGCAAGTGAGTCTTACTTGTAGATAGTGTAGCTTTTTGTCTTTATAAACACTCATTGCTGGTCTTATACGATGCTGGGCTTATAAGTTTACACTATAAGTTGGCATAAGCCTGCTGTAAGTTATTAAAATCATGTTATAAGTATGCTATAAGTTGATGTAAGCATGATAGAAGTTATAAGTATGATAGAAGTTATTATAAACGTACTATAAGTGGGATCTGACACTGTGGTTTGTGGGGTGTGCAGGCAGAAGCGCAGTATGGGCCTAACCCTGGCAGAGGGGGAACTGGCCCGGCTGGACACGGAGCGCGTCAGAGACCGGGTAGCACTGGAGAGAGAACGCTCCTGTGCTGAAAACATCATCACCAAGATAGAGGATGTCCTGTTAGTAGCAACACTCACAGCTTTGTTTCTTGATGTAGATTCTTTAACATTAGTTTCACTTGCTGATACATTTTAAATTAGGCTGATAATATACTGATTGGAAATCTACTACTTCTAATGTCTAATTGTTTGGACTTCTTTTTGTACTCTGACGTTTTCTGTGTAATATAATTTGTTCTAACGGAATGTCTTGACATATTTTAGGTTGACAACTCAATCCACAGAGGAGGAGAAATGGTGAGGGGATTCTCTTTTGTTTATCCATAGGAATGAACCTATATGGGCCCTATGCATTTCACACTATCCATTGACTTTAATCAGTGTGATGTTTGGGGATTGTCAATATAAGATGTTATGGTCACAGGCTCAGACTGGAAGAACCGTGATCGTGTTCAGTAGGGCACAACTTAGCGAAACATTTTGCAGCCAGAAAACAAAACAAAAAGCATTGTTAATGGACAAATTCAGGTAGAACCTCCCTGTCACACTGAACACAACCTATATCTACTTGTGGCTGTGAACACACAACATACTCAGTGCTCAATGTGTTTTTTGTTTTTTACTGCACGCCCCCACAGAGCACTCCATCCTCTAAAGCTTGAGTTGGGAGCACAGGCTGTTGAGCTTTTGGAAGGATATGGTAAAGTGCACTGCACTCCTTGAGGGGTTTAAGACACTTTGGGGCCTTACAGACTCTTGGCCTTTCTAACAACTATCTGTGTCATTTCTACTCAATGTCACACTGGAGACAAACCACCTAGTTTAAGTTCACTGCCATGAAAGAGGACAAGAACATCATATTAGATGATTTTGAGGTTGAGCAGTTGACATTACAACAGAAGTCAAGTTCTATATGTAGAGTATCTCTTTGCCAGGGGGCAATCTAGCAACATGAGCTATTGGCCAACCTCTTTAATAACAAATGACATTTCTCTAGTTTGTCTAGATTCATAAGGGACTATTTCCGACGTTGTATAACAACCTTATTTCAAATGCCATATGGTCCCGGCATATCCCAGATGATTAATGAATGGACACGACATCTTGCCGCCGTCACTTGTTTTCGCAGCATATGGTCAAAGCCACACTAAAGACTCGTTGTTCACTTCAAATGAATCCCAATCTGTTCCATTTATATAAAACAGAGAATATGGCAATATAATTTTGGTCTCTAAATCCTGAATCCTCATTGGTCTGTTGTTGCAGCACTACTATGCAGTACGTCATCCTCACGTACATGAAGCACCTTGGCGTGAAAGTCAAAGAACCACGCGGCCTTGAGTCCAAATGGGTCCGCATCAACTTCCTCCCCAAGATCAAGGTACGAGCCTACCCTCCGCTAACCCAGCTCGGTTATTAACTGTCACCTCAACTATATCTCTCTTACTGACTGATGATGTGATGTCTGTGATCAACAGAAGAGCATCAAGACCGAGAAGGAGGGAGGGGAGGAGAAGGTGAAACGAACCAGGTTTCCCAGCATCCTCGGGCCTCCACGCCGGCCGAGCCGCGTCGACCCCACGTCCGGTGAGTCTGTCTGTGTGTTATAAAGCAAACTGGCTTTCATTTTGTCATTTAAGATAACCAACAGTGACCAACACTACTATACTATAGGTCTCCCAATTTACTGAACCCCTGGAGAGGCACTTTGTATTGGTAGATGGTCATCATCACCCACATTTCAAAACAAATCATCTTGTTACTATGGAGAAAAGGAGGGACCGACAGGAAAGGAAATTGATCCTATAGTATTGACTCCTGCTACCTCTTTGTGTGTCTTTGTGTCTGTCTGTCTCTATGTGTGCTGCCTACCTGTGTCTCTGACTGATTGTGTGCCTGTCTGTCTGTGTGAGCAGTCGGCAAGGCCATGGACCTCAACAAGCCGCGGCCACAGAAGCAGCTGTCCCAGCCCTGCCTGGGGGCCCTGGAGCACCTGGAGGCGGGTCGCCTGAGGGCCAGTCAGTCCAGCGAGGGCTCAGATCTCACACATTCCTCCTCTACCAACGCCACCTCGCCACCCAACAGCACCACCAACAGCCAAGCCTCTGACGGAGGCAGCAGAGACTCTGAGTTTGGTACGACCCTGGACTACCACATAGTGTACTAGACTCGAGCTAGTACACACCTACTAAACTCTCTAGCTAGCACAATCCCCACATACTCAATTCTAAACCAAGTACCCTAGTCTCTAGACCACATACTAAATCAAGCGCAAACAACGCAAGACCAATTACGCTCCCCATAGTGTTTGTCTGCGGTGCTCTCCTCTTAAACTAAATTCCTGAATCCCGAATGCACATTCAGAAAGTATTCAGACGCATTGACTTTTTCCACATTTTGTGACGTTACAGCCTTATTCTAAAATGGATGAAATAATGTTTTCAATCTACACACAATACCCCATAATTCAAAGCGAAAACAGATTTTTTTTAAATGTATTGAAAATAAAAAACAGAAAAGTATTCAGACCCGAAATTGAGCTCAGGTGCGTCCTGTTTCCATCGATCATTCTTGATGTTTCTACAACTTGGAGTACACCTGTGGTAAATTAAATTTATTGGACATGATTTGGAAAGGCACACAACTGTCTAAGGTCCCACAGTTGACAGTGCATGTCAGAGCAAAAACCAAGCCGTGAGGTCAAAGAAATTGTCCGTAGAGCTCCGAGACAGGATTGTGTCGAGGTACAGATCTGTGGAAGGGTACCAAAACATTTCTGCAGCATTGAAGGTCCCCAATAACACAGTGGCCTCCATCATTCTTAAATGGAAGAAGTTTGGAACCACCAAAACTCTTCCTAGAGCTGGCCGCCCGGCCAAACTGAGTTATCGGTAGAGAAGATCCTTGGTCAGGGAGGTGACCAAAAACACGATGGTCACTCTGACAGAGCTCTAGAGTTCCTCTGTGGAGATGGGAGAACCTTCCAGAAGAACAACCATCTCTGCAGCACTCTACCAATCAGGCCTTTATGGTAGAGGGGCCAGACGGGAGCCACTCCTCATTAAAGGCACATGACAGCCCACTTGGAGTTTGCCAAAAGGACTCAGACCGTGAGAAACAAGATTCTCTGGTCTGATGAAACCAAGATTGAACTCTTTGGCCTGAATGCCAAGCATCACGTCTGGAGGAAACCTGGCACCATCCCTGCGGTGAAGCATGGTGGTGGCAGCATCATACTGTGGGGATGTTTTTCAGCGGCATGGACTGGGAGACTAGTCATGAACGGAGCAAAGTACAGAGAGATCCTTGATGAAAACCTGCTCCAGAGCGCTCAGGACCTCAGACTGGGGCTGAGGTTTACCTTCCAACAGGACACCGACCCTAAGCACACAGCCAAGACAACGCAGGAGTGGCTTCGGGACAAGTCTCTGAATGTCCTTGAGTGGCCCAGCCAGAGCCCGGACTTGAACCAGATCGAACATCTCTGGAGAGACCTGAAAATAGCTGTGCAGCGACGCTCCCCATCCAACCTGACAGAGCTTGAGAGAAACTCTGCAAATACAGGTGTGCCAAGCTTGTAGCATCATACCCAAGAAGACTTGAGGCTAAAACAAAGTACTGAGGAAAGGGTCTGAATACTTATGTAAATGTGATATTTCAGCTTTTTATTTTTAATACATTTGCAAAAGATTATAGAAACCTGTTTTTGCTTTGTGATTATGGGGTATTGTGTGTAGATTGATGAGGGGGGGAAAAAACAATTTAATCCATTTTAGAATAAGGCTGTAATGTAACAAAATGTGGAAAAGGTCAAGGGGTCTGAATACTTTCCGAATGCACTGTATGTACCAAAATCGCGATTAATTCACCCATTTTTTGTGATGACGATAAATCAGCGATAAACTCTGATTAAAAAATAAATTAAAACATTGGGGGGAGGTGCTGGATATGGACAAAAAGTAATATCACGATAAATGTAACTATTTTGCTCGATAATAACAAATCAACAATGTTTTTTTATTTTTATGGACAGATACTTTACATTAGTGGCAGTTCTTTTTCCAGTGCCAAATAAAAGATCTGAAATGGTAGACATTTACATTTACGTCATTTAGCAGACGCTCTTATCCAGAGCGACTTACAAATAGGTGCATTCACCTTATAGCCAGTGGGATAACCACTTTACAATGTTATTGTTATTATTTTATTTTTTGGGGGGGTGGGTTGGGGTAAGGGGGGGGTAGAAGGATTACTTTATCCTATCCCAGGTATTCCTTAAAGAGGTGGGGTTTCAAATGTCTCCGGAAGGTGGTGAGTGACTCCGCTGTCCTGGCGTCGTGAGGGAGCTTGTTCCACCATTGGGGTGCCAGTGCAGCGAACAGTTTTGACTGGGCTGAGCGGGATCTATGCTTCCGCAGAGGTAGGGGAGCCAGCAGGCCAGAGGTGGATGAACGCAATGCCCTCGTTTGGGTGTAGGGACTGATCAGAGCCTGAAGGTACGGAGGTGCCGTTCCCCTCACAGCTCCATAGGCAAGCACCATGGTCTTGTAGCAGATGCGAGCTTCAACTGGAAGCCAGTGGAGTGTGCGGAGGAGCGGGGTGACGTGAGAGAACTTGGGAAGGTTGAACACCAGACGGGCTGCGGCATTCTGGATGAGTTGTAGGGGTTTAATGGCACAGGCAGGGAGCCCAGCCAACAGCGAGTTGCAGTAATCCAGACGGGAGATGACAAGTGCCTGGATTAGGACCTGTGCCGCTTCCTGTGTAAGGCAGGGTCGTACTCTCCGAATGTTGTAGAGCATGAACCTACAGGATCGGGTCACCGCCTTGATGTTAGCGGAGAATAATAATAATAATAATAATAATATGCCATTTAGCAGACGCTTTTATCCAAAGCGACTTACAGTCATGCGTGCATACATTTTTTTTGTGTATGGGTGGTCCCGGGGATCGAACCCACTACCTTGGCGTTACAAGCGCCGTACTCTACCAGCTGAGCTACAGGGTGTTGTCCAGGGTCACGCCTTATTTGATCTAACATATCCAGGAAATGCATGATTTATATTTTGATGTGCAACCTGTCAAAATAGGATCCAGAATTATCTGATTTATTTTTGGCTCTTCAGAGAATCTTCTGACATCTTTGTGCATATTGGCCTATAAGCTACAGTATATTATTCACCACCTGAGGAAGTGGGAATCAGTAAATGTAGGCTAATGTCTGACAAAAACATTCCAGTGCTAGGCCTAGACTACTTGATGTAGGCCTAATCACTGCAAATGGCGCGCTCTGCTCCACTCCGCACCGCATCAAAACTTTACTACACTACAGCCTGATCTGGTTGTAAAGTGGTGCCATGAACTCTATATTAAGAGAAATACATAATATATTCACAGGAAATTATGACTCCTCTCTGTAACTAGAACAGTAATTTGCTTTGAAAACTGTATTTTCCCCGCAATAGCATTTTGAGCAACGGTCGTAGTTGTACAGGGTAACTGATCTCTCTCTGTCTCTCTCCTCTCCTCAGTTGTGACCTCTAACTCTGCCTTCCCCAAACTGAGCGAGGGTCTTGGAGACCTGGACAGTCTACAGAACACTCCAAACACACACTTTGACTACAGCCTGAGCCCCTACAGCCTGGACCAGCTGCAGGAGGAGGACCGGGAGAGCGGGTAAGATGGATCCCAAACAGGGGAAAGCATAGGGCCTATGGGCCCAGTCAAAAGGAGTGCACTAAATTGGGAATAGGGTGGCATTAGACATGTTTTATCTACCCTCTGTATATAACATGCAATTCCAGTCAGCCCTTGACCTTTTTGTCTTTACCCCTATTGTGCACAGTTGTTTTAGTAGTTGTTTCATGCAGGCAGAGTACATCTTGACGAGTATGTGGAGCTTTGTCATTCAGGTGTCGTAGTTAGTAGTATCCTCTTGTTACAGAATCCTTGAAGGAACACATTTACATTTACATCATTTAGCAGACTCTCTTATCCAGAGCGACTTACAAATTGGTGCATTCAATTTATGATAGCCAGTGGGACAACCACCTTTTTTTTTTTAATGGGGGGTGGGGGAAGAAGGATTACTTTATACTATTCCAGGTATTCCTTAAAGAGGTAGGGTTTCAAGTGTCTCCGGAAGGTGGTCAGTGACTCCGCTGTCGTGGGGGAGCTTGTTCCACCATTGGGGTGCCAGAGCAGCGAATAGCTTTGACTGGGCTGAGCGGGAACTGTGCTTCCGTAGAGGTAGGGGAGCTAGCAGGCCAGAGGTGGATGAATGTAGTGCCCTCGTTTGGGTGTAGGGTCTGATCAGAGCCTGAAGGTAATGAGGGGCCGTTCCCCTCACAGCTCTGTAGGCAAGCACCATGGTTTTGTAGTAGATGTGAGCCTCAACTGGAAGCCAGTGGAGTGTGCAGAGGAGCGGGGTGACATGAGAGAACTTGGGAAGGTTGAACACCAGACGGGCTGCAGCGTTCTGGATGAGTTGTAGGGGTTTAATGGCACAGGCAGGGAGCCCAGCCAACAGCGAGTTGCAGTAATCCAGACGGGAGATGACAAGTGCCTGGATTAGGACCTGTGCCGCTTTCTGTGTAAGGTAGGGTCGTACTCTGCGAATGTTGTAGAGCATGAACCTGCAGGATCGGGTCACCGCTTTGATGTTAGCGGAGAACGACAGGGTGTTGTCCAAGGTCACGCCAAGGTTCTTTGCACTCTGGGAGGAGGACACAATGGAGTTGTCAACCGTGATGGCGAGATCATGGAGTGGGCAGTCCTTCCCCGGGAGGAAGAGCAACTCCGTCTTGCCGAGGTTCAGCTTGAGGTGGTGATCCGACATCCACACTGATATGTCTGCCAGACATGCAGAGATGCGATTCGCCACCTGGTTAACAGAAGGGGGAAAGGAGAAAATTGTGTGTCATCTGTGTAGCAATGATAGGATAGACCATGTGAGGATAGGACAGAGCCAAGTGACTTGGTGAATAGAGAGAATAGGAGAGGGCCTAGAACTGAGCCCTGGGGGACACCAGTGGTGAGGAGACAGATTCTTGCCACGCGACCTGTCAGGTAGGACGCAATCCAAGAGTGAGCAGCGCCGGAGATGCCCAACTCGGAGAGGGTGGAGATGAGGACCTGATGGTTCACAGTATCAAAGGCAGCGGATAGGTCTAGAAGGATAAGAGCAGAGGAGAGAGAGTTAGCTTTAGCAGTGTGGAGAGCCTCCGTGACACAGAGAAGAGCAGTCTCAGTTGAATGACCAGTCTTGAAACCTGACTGGTTTGGATCAAGAAGGTAATTCTGAGAGAGATAGCAGGAGAGTTGGCTAGAGACGGCACGCTCAATAGTTTTGGAGAGAAAAGAAAGAAGGGATACAGGTCTGTAGTTGTTGACATCGGAGGGATCGAGTGTAGGTTTTTTGAGGAGGGGTACAACTCTCGCTCTCTTGAAGACGGAAGGGACATGGCCAGCGGTCAAGGATGAGTTGATGAGCGAGGTGAGGTAAGGGAGAAGGTCTCCGGAAATGGTCTGGAGAAGAGAGGAGGGGATAGGGTCAAGCGGGCAGGTTGTTGGGCGGCCGGCCGTCACAAGTCGCAAGATTTCATCTGGAGAGAGAGGGGAGAAAGAAGTCAAAGCATAGGGTAGGGCAGTGTGAGCAGGACCAATGGTGTCATTTGACTTAATAAATGAGGATCGGATGTCGTCAACCTTCTTTTCAAAATGGTTGACGATGTCATCCACAGAGAGGGAGGAGGAGGAGGAGGAGGAGGATTCAGCAGGGAGGAGAAGGTGGCAAAGAGCTTCCTAGGGTTAGAGGCAGAGGCTTGAAATTTAGAGTGGTAGAAAGTGGCTTTAGCAGCGGAAACAGAGGAAGAGAATGTAGAGAGGAGGGAGTGAAAAGATGACAGGTCCGCAGGGAGTCGAGTTTTCCTCCATTTCTGCTTGGCTGCCCAGAGCCCTCTTCTGTGAGCTCGCAATGAGTTGTCAAGCCACGGAGCAGGAGGGGAGGACCGAGCCGGCCGGGAGGATAGGGGACATAGAGAGTCAAAATATGCAGAAAGGGAGGAGAGGAGGGTTGAGGAGGCAGAATCAGGAGATTGGAAGGAGAAGGATTTAGCACAGGGAAGAGATGATAGGATGGAAGAGGAGAGAGTAGCGGGAGAGAGAGAGCGAAGGTTGCGACGGCACATTTCCATCTGAGTAGGGGCAGAGTGAGTAGTGTTGGAGGAGAGCGAGAGAGAAAAGGATACAAAGTAGTGGTCTGAGATTTGGAGGGGAGTTGCAGTGAGATTAGTAGAAGAACAGCATCTAGTAAAGACGAGGTCAAGTGTATTGCCTGCCTTGTGAGTAGGGGGGGACGGTGAGAGGGTGAGGTCAAAAGAGGAAAGGAGTGGAAAGAAGGAGGCAGAGAGAAATGAGTCAAAAGCAGACGAAGGGAGGTTAATGTCACCCAGAACTGGGAAGGGTGAGCCATCCTCAGGAAAGGAACTTATCAAGGCGTCAAGCTCATTGATGAACTCTCCAAGGGAACCTGGAGGGCGATAAATGACAAGGATGTTAAGCTTGAATGGGCTAGTGACTGTGACAGCATGGAATTCAAATGAGGAGATAGACAGATGGGTCAGGGGGGAAAGAGAGAATGTCCACTTGGGAGAGATGAGGATTCCTGTGCCACCGCCGCGCTGACCAGATGCTCTCGGGATATGCGAGAACACATGGTCAGACGAGGAAAGAGCAGTAGGAGTAGCAGTGTTTTCTGTGGTAATCCATGTTTCCGTCAGCGCCAAGAAGTCGAGGGACTGGAGGGTAGCATAGGCTGAGATGAACTCTGCCTTGTTGGCCGCTGAACGGCACTTTCAGAGGCTGCTGGAGACCTGGAACTCCACGTGGGTCGTGCGCGCAGGGACCACCAGATTAGAGTGGCAGCAGCCACGCGGTGTGAAGCGTTTGTATGGCCTGTGCAGAGAGGAGAGAACAGGGATAGACAGACACATAGTTGAAAGGCTACAATAATGCAAAGGAGATCGGAATGAAATTAACTAAACATCTGGGAAAGCGAGAGAGCGGGGCCTCCCTCAATTACGTTTCACTGAAACACTCAAATAAAACTCTCCCAACATCCACTTTAGAAATTATAATTGTTGTAAACTACAGCGGTTCAATGTTTTCTAGGAATATACTCTAACTTAGTTTATTCAGCTAGCTAACTTGGTACAGTATTCTTCCGTGAAAACCGTCCAGGGCACCGAATCCTATGACGCCATAGCCAACTAGCATGCCAGGCTCCAATAACACGGTTTAGCACCAATACCCGGTTACAACAAACCACCAGTGTGTTAACACGCCAAACAGATCATTTGTGTCCGCGTCTAACATTGTGACACCCAAGGTTATCAGAAGGTGAGTATTTTCTGTCCTATTTTTTGACTTGGCCTGCTACTATTTCTGATAAAGGCAATGGTCAGATAGTTTATTTGAGTTTTTAGTCAGTGTCTTAAACCTCTTCGGTCCAATTGTGGACTACCTTTATCAGAAGTGCTGTAGGCTAGCTATGGTTAGAAACAGTATGAGTTTTTAGATATTTCTTAACATCTTCTGTTATATTTTGTGACTGCATTTATCTTAGTCAGATAGTGTATTTAAGGTTGTAACCAGCGTCTAACTGCTGCTGCCTATCTCCCAGGTTGGATGGCCTTGGCTCTACAGAGGTGCAGAGTGAAGACGACCAAGGAGGAACGGACTCTGAGCACGACCCCCTCAACTGGCAGCAGCTAGTGGGACGAGAGGTCCTGGCCGGACTCAGGCCCCACGAGATCAAGAGACAGGAAGTCATTAACGGTAGCTTCCTGTTCGAACTGTAACCCAGTCACCATAATAGAAATAAATAGGGCCTGTTACCCAACCAGGAAAAACTCTGGACCCTAGTGATTGGTTTTGCATGATTAGGAAAAACCCAGGGCCCTAATGCTGTATGTCTGTTCACTCTTTTAGTAGGTCGTTTATTGTTCAAAAGGAATAATCACTGTGTAAACCCCTTACACTCGTGGGAATTGGCCTACAGTGGGGGAAAAAAGTATTTAGTCAGCCACCAATTGTGCAAGTTCTCCCACTTAAAAAGATGAGAGAGGCCTGTAATTTTCATCATAGGTACACGTCAATTATGACAGACAAATTGAGAGAGAAAAAATCCAGAAAATCACATTGTAGGATTTTTTATGAATTTATTTGCAAATTATGGTGGAAAATAAGTATTTGGTCACCTACAAACAAGCAAGATTTCTGGCTCTCACAGACCTGTAACTTCTTCTTTAAGAGGCTCCTCTGTCCTCCACTCGTTACCTGTATTAATGGCACCTGTTTGAACTTGTTATCAGTATAAAAGACACCTGTCCACAACCTCAAACAGTCACACTCCAAACTCCACTATGGCCAAGACCAAAGAGCTGTCAAAGGACACCAGAAACAAAATTGTAGACCTGCACCAGGCTGGGAAGACTGAATCTGCAATAGGTAAGCAGCTTGGTTTGAAGAAATCAACTGTGGGAGCAATTATTATGAAATGGAAGACATACAAGACCACTGATAATCTCCCTCGATCTGGGGCTCCACGCAAGATCTCACCCCGTGGGGTCAAAATGATCACAAGAACGATGAGCAAAAATCCCAGAACCACACGGGGGGACCTAGTGAATAACCTGCAGAGAGCTGGGACCAAAGTAACAAAGCCTACCATCAGTAACACACTACGCCGCCAGGGACTCAAATCCTGCAGTGCCAGACGTGTCCCCCTGCTTAAGCCAGTACATGTCCAGGCCCGTCTGAAGTTTGCTAGAGTGCATTTGGATGATCCAGAAGAGGATTGGGAGAATGTCATATGGTCAGATGAAACCAAAATATAACTTTTTGGTAAAAACTCAACTCGTCGTGTTTGGAGGACAAAGAATGCTGAGTTGCATCCAAAGAACACCATACCTACTGTGAAGCGTGGGGGTGGAAACATCATGCTTTGGGGCTGTTTTTCTGCAAAGGGACCAGGACGACTGATCCGTGTAAAGGAAATAATGAATGGGGCCATGTATTGTGAGATTTTGAGTGAAAACCTCCTTCCATCAGCAAGGGCATTGAAGATGAATCGTGGCTGGGTCTTTCAGCATGACAATGATCCCAAACACACCGCCCGGGCAACGAAAGAGTGGCCTAGCCAGTCTCCAGATCTCAAACCCATAGAAAATCTTTGGAGGGAGTTGAAAGTCCGTGTTGCCCAGCGACAGCCCCAAAACATCACTGCTCTATAGGAGATCTGCATGGAGGAATGGGCCAATATACCAGCAACAGTGTGTGAAAACCTTGTGAAGACTTACAGAAAACGTTTGACCTGTGTCATTGCCAACAAAGGGTATATAACAAAGTATTGAGAAACTTTTGTTATTGACCAAATACTTATTTTCCACCATAATTTGCAAATAAATTCATAAAAAATCCTACAATGTGATTTTCTGGAGAAAAAAAATCTCATTTTGTCTGTCATAGTTGACGTGTACCTATGATGAAAATTACAGGCCTCTCTCATCTTTTTAAGTGGGAGAACTTGCACAATTGATGGCTGACTAAATACTTTTTTTCCCCACTGTATATGGATAGGGCTTAATTGAAATGTTTCTTACAGAAGAAATATGGAAATGCATAACCATGGTAGCTATCAAAAGGGAACAGTTTGGAGATTATGGAAAAATTATTAGACAAAATGTGAGGACAAAACAGATAATCTGACACAAGACTGAATCCAAACGTTACACTGTTGATGTTATGTGAATTTGACATTTACTGTACTTTTCGCTGCATCTTGTTGATAATTAAATCTGAAAATAATCTGGATACAGTCAGTAACATAAGAATATTCATGAAAACATTTGGGCTAGGTTCAACATAAGACGAAAAAATGACAAGTGAGAGGTCTAACTGGTGTCTCCAAGTGGCCACACACCTCTCCGAAGTGTGAACAGGTCCTATGTCATTTCAACTCAATGAATAGTCTTCAACTATAAGGTGCTATTCTGAGCTCTCCTAGCTGTGCCATTGAGGAACTAGAGTAAGCAGATTTGTAGCTGTTTTCTTTAGAACACAGCCCTGCATCCCCGCCTTAACATAATTACTGTTGTTTACTCATTCCAAAAACGGTCCATTAGAAATCGCAATCTGGTCAGGTGGGCATCATTTGAAAGCATGTTCTATTGCCAACATGGCTAGCTAAGTTACAACATACGATCTTACAGTGTTAGGCTTTCACGAGGCAATTCAGAGAAGCGGATCGTCATTTTGTTGCGCATAGAATAGTGTATTCAGATGCGTTTTCCCCGTCCAAATTTCTTCACAATACAACATAGGCTCATTCTGTTCAGAACAACCCAGGGTATAACGCCATGTCATCGTGTAACTACATCAAGCATAGTGATCATAAACGTTGGTAAATTAGTTTTATATTATGGAAATATGAAGTGCACATTTGGACTAACGTGTGTTTTGGCTTGCTTGTATGACATCAAAGTGGTATTTATTATAATCCTCAACATCTCATCTTTCAAAATACATCAAGTCCTCTTTATTTCCAATATTTCCCTCACTCTGACAACAAAAAATGTGCTAAAGTTTCCCAATTAGCGGGAGGGATGGCGGCAACTTGTTGTCGCGATCGGCGTTCAAGTGCAGAACCGCTGTCAGTAAAAACCAATACTGCGCTGTGAAGCAGAGACCTTGAGCCCTGAAGTCCTGAAGAGCATGTTACTGTACAGCCACTGCGTTCCAATTTAGCCACTTATCAGTGTCCAAATCTGCTCTTTTTAACCCGTATACGGGTACGAGTGTAAGGAGTTAAGAGTGCAATGAACAGTGTAGGTGGTAACCACGGCAAACTCAATCAAACAAACTTTTTTCGTATATCACTTTTACAAATGCATCTTTCCTAGTAGGAACCTGGGCCAAAACCCCCAAAGAACAAGCTGAAATAACCGTTCTCATTATCACTCTTTATCGCTTATTTATGGTTGCCTAATGTAGTCATTTATCAGTCTGCAATAGTGATGAGAGCTGTCTGCCTGTGTCTACAGAGCTGTTCTACACTGAGAGGGCCCACCTGCGGATGCTCAAGGTGCTGGACAACATCTTCTACCAGAAGCTCACCAGAGAGGCCATACTGCCTCCTGCCGACGTCAAGACCATCTTCACCAACCTGGAGGACATTGTTCAACTGCATGGTACTTGCACGCATGGACATAAGCGCACACACACACAAACAGGCATGTACATGCACAACCACAAGCATGTACACACACGCACACATACACACCCCCTTCCCCCCCACACACACACACACACACACACACACACAATGTCAGAATGACCCTCTTACATTCCCTTTCATTTTGAATTTCAGTTTTGATATCTGAGCAAATGGCAACAATTCGGAAAAGGAATGAGACATCCGTAATCGACCAAATAGGAGACGACTTGCTGTCCTGGGTGAGTACAGCTATTTTCTTTTTATTTTGAAGCCTTTTCCCCAACGGAATATGATTTATGTAATAATTGTGTTGTTGGAGAGAAGTCTTTCTTTCATTCTCACAATCCACAAAAGCTGTGCTGTTGCCTGAAATTGCTTTTCACAGCGGCATAAACATCCACCTTTTTTTATGGGATTGCTTATCTTTTTAATTGGCAATGAGCTGGAGGGTATAGATGGTTGCTGTGTTTTGAGGAATGGAAGTACAATTGTGAAATGATAGTGTGGCACAGATGGACTGGCGGAACCCATCCACTAACCTGGTCCCAGATCTATACGTGCTTTATCAAACCCCTCTGTCTATACATGTATAATAACAATTCATTGGATTTTATATAGCGCTTTTCCAAGTGCTTACATAGAATGCGGAAACTCACTTTATCCACCGCCAATGTGAAGCACCCACTCAGGTGATGCACGGCAACCATTTTTGCCAGAACGCTCACCACACATCAGCTATCACGGCGGAGACAACCATGATAACCAAAATATAGCTATGACAGAATCATAACAACTATGATAGTCGGAGGGAATTGGCCCCCCCCCCTCGATCTGGCACACTGTGCCACCACACACACGCAAGGACCAGGGGGTTGGCTTGGCGACAGGGAGTTGCCATGGTGACTGACCCCAATTCGCCTGGCTCGCCTGTGTTTTCCAGTTCAGCGGGGGCGAGGAGGAGAAGATCAAGCAGGCGGTGGGCACGTTCTGCAGCAACCAGCCCTTTGCTCTGGAGCTCATCAAGAGCAGGCAGAAGAAGGACTCGCGCTTCACCTCCTTCATGCAGGTAAGTGGAGGAATGGAGGAGAGAGGAGGAGGAGAGCGTAAGGACTGGAGTGCACACATGGGCTATTGGGCACTCCCTGTTACTTGAGGTTTAGGTCCGGTATTTGACTGTGTAATCAACTTCTGCAGACTGTACAGTACATTGTATATGACAGGGTATGGGATGTTTGAGGGAAGTACGTGTAGTTCAATGATAGCATTTGAAAATGATTTGTTCATTTTAAGTTAAGTTCAAATTCATTTTAAGTAAATGAAACATTAAAAAAAGTTGTAGAAAGTAACCATTCACGATGTAGGTCTGTCAAAGCTACAGTCACTAGTGGGCGAAGTATATACATGAACGAAAAGGATGCATCGTCCCTGTTTTGTTGCTCCTAACTCCACTGTGCGTTTGCAGGAGGCTGAGAGTAACCGACTGTGTCGAAGACTCCAACTGAAGGACATCATTCCTGTGGAGATGCAGAGGCTCACCAAGTACCCTCTCCTACTGGAGAACATCGCCAAGTACACAGGTGGGCCACACACACTCCTATACCTCTTTCACTCTACTAAGCCAAGCTGTACTGTACTGGGCTGGCTACACACCCACCATAGTTGCTGGAACCGTGCTAGTTCAATAATGTAAAAAGGTGACTAGACTCTGTGACAATGAGGTGATGGCACTGGGCTCGAAGCAGACCAGGCCATCACAGTGATGCAGGGCAGCGCGCTTACAGCAGTGTTAATGATAGCAGTGTCCTTCTGCTGTGGTGCCCCAGTGACCACCCTCTCTCTCTCTCTCTGTGTGTGTGTCAGTGCGTCTGTGTGTGTGTGTGTGTGGGCCTGTGTATGCACGCCTGTGTGTGAGGAGCTGCCAGCCCGGCTCATCACTGTGTATACAATGGTAATGGATACATGCACATCATGTCTAAAGTAGGGTATTTTCAGTGACCCGGGCGAGCTGGCATCGCGTCAGCCATGAACAAATTACAGCTGTGCTCTCGGTTAAACTGAGATGATTATTTTGGCATTTTCCAAAGCCTGTAATGCACATTTTGGGAGATGTTCTCGCATTATTTGGGTCCCATCATTTTTTATCTAGGCTCTGGTTTAGTTCTCCCTCGCGGAAATAAAATGCACTAAAAATAAAGTAAAACCAGCTATTAAGGAATGTTAATGTGCTCTACTTGGTCTTAATTTCCGAGGATGATCAGCTGCTAATCGGTGCAGGACAATATCAATTTGCTGGGCAGTACCCCACAGAGGCAGTTTCTTCTGTTTTTCTCCACAAAATCTACATCCCCATTTCTCTCTCTCTCTCTCTCTCTCATAATTTCATTTCAGATGACACCGTGGAGAAAGAAAAGGTAAAGAAGGCGGGCGACTGCTGCAGGAAGATTCTCAACCACGTCAACCAAGCTGTGAAGGAGTCTGAAAACAAACAGGTAGGTGTGATTTTAGCGTCATCTGGGAACGGCGGGTACGGTCCCCTGCTCTGCCTAGAAGGCTTCTCAGCCACTCGGAAATCTGTCCTCTCTTTTCTCCCACTGTTCCTCTTAGAGCAAACAGTGATGATGGCAGGTGATTGATTGCAGGGAGAATATGGGGTTTGTGTCTCTTGGTTAGAGTGTAATCCTGTCTGTAGCAGCAGCTTACGGCAGTTTTTCTGTGCCTCTCTCGCTTTCTTTCTCTCTTTCTCCCTCTTTCTTTCTCCCTCTTTCTTTCTTTCTCTCTCTCCCTCTTTCTCCCTCTCTCTCTCTTTCTCCCTCTTTCTCCCTCTCTCTCTCTTTCTTTCCACAGAGGCTGGAGGACTACCAGAGGAGGCTAGACCTCTCGTCTCTGAAACAGACGGAGAACCCCATGATTTCAGAGCTCAAGGTGAGGCGATCGATAAAGCGTTTCTCAAAAAGACTTATCACAATGCTGCTCTTTTAGTCTGCAGTCTACCCACAATTGACTTGAAGCAACATTTTAGTTTGTTTTGGTTTCTGCGGTGGAGCCACTGCAGTTTTTGTTTAAATGTCAGCTGATAGTGCTCGAAATTGGACTAGGTCATGCAGCTCCATTCTTTGGGGTGGAAGAGTACCTGTTTCCAAAGTGAAAGCTAATAGGGATCTGACTAAACAAATAAACGCAGCTAATCTGACCTTAACTCCCTCTACACTCAGAACCTGGACCTGACCAAGAAGAAGATGGTCCACGAGGGACCACTGTCATGGAAGGTCAACAAGGACAAGACTATTGGTACGCTTTCGCCTTTATAAGGCGTTTATGTGGATAAGTAGGGCCAGGAAGATTTTCCTGACCAATGTGATCCAACCAGGGAAAACTCTTGGCCCTAGTTGTAGACTACAACTGCAATCTGAGCCCGAACTAATTCCATGTCAGGTCATGTGGTCAGGAAAAACTCCTGGCCCCTAAGACAAACCATATGATGTAATGGGAGAAATCATAAAAGAGACACGATTGTTGCCTAATGACATATAATACTAATATAACTGCGATGTCTATGTCCAAGTGTTCTATGTAATTCTGTGGTTAAATCCCTCTTCTTCTGGACTCAGAGCTGTACACCTTGCTCCTGGAGGACATTTTGGTACTGCTGCAGAAGCAAGACGAGCGCCTCATCCTCAAGTGCCACAGCAAAAACCTGTCGGGCACCGCTGACACAAAGCACATCTTCAGCCCCATCATCAAGCTCAACGCGGTGCTGGTGCGCTCTGTGGCCACAGGTAAGTTACCATAGAGATACAGTCATACCATTAGTTTCCCTGACCAAGATGGCCGCCCTGTAGTCATGCTACCTGGAATGCCAATGTCCATTCTAGTGTTCTATTAAAATCTGTTTGAGTTAGATCCAACCTTGTTAACACAATGACTCCCAGCTCAAATGACACCCTATCCCCCAACACGACTCCAACACCATCATTAAGTTTGCAGATGACACAAAAAGTGGTAGGCCTGATCACCGACAACGACAAGACAGCCTATAGGGAGGAGGTCAGAGACCTGGCCGTGTGTTGCCAGGATAACAACCTCTCCCTCAACGTGATCAAGACAAAGGAGATGATTGTGGACTACAGGTAAAAAAAGAGGACTGAACACGCCCCCATGCTCATCGACGGGGCTGTAGTGGACCAGGTTGAGAGCTTCAAGTTCCTTGGTGTCCACATCACCAACGAACTATCATGGTCCAAACACACCAAGACAGTCGTGAAGAGGGCACGACAAAGCCTATTCCCCCTCAGGAGACTGAAAAGATTTGGCATGGGTCCTCGGATCCTCAAAAGGTTCTACAGCTGCACCATTGAGAGCATCCTGACTGGTTGCATCACTGCCTGGTATGGCAACTGCTTGGCCTCCGACCGCAAGGCACTACAGAGGGTAGTGCGTACGGCCCAGTACATCACTTGGGGCCAAGCTTACTGCCATCCAGGACCTCTATACCAGGCGGTGTCAGAGGAAGGCCCTAAAAATTGTCAAAGACTCCAGCCACCCTAGTCATAGACTGTTCTCTCTGCTACCGCACCGCAAGCAGTACCGGAGCGCCAAGTCTAGGTCCAAAAGGCTTCTTAATAGCTTCTACCCCCAAGCCATAAGACTCCTGAACATCCCCGCTGCTGCTACTCTCTGTTTATTATCTATGCATATTCACTTTAATAACTCTACCTATATGTACATATTACCTCAATAACATCGACTAACAGGTACCCCCACACATTGACTCTGTGCCAGGTACCCCCTGTATATAGCCTCGTTACTGTTATTTTACTATTGTTATTTTACTGCTGCTCTTTAATTATTTGTTACTTTTATTTCTTATATTTATTTAGGGTATTATTTCTTAAAACTGCATTGTTGGTTAAGGGCTTGTAAGTAAGCTTTTCACTGTAAGGTCTACCTGTTGTATTCGGTGCATGTAACAAATAAAATTTAGATTTATTGACCAGAGCCCTATGTTGGCAGCCCTATGTGACTGTGGTCAAAAGTAGTGTACTATATGGGGAATAGGGTGGTATTTGACACACAACCAGGAGTCTGACCCTGTTTTCCTGCTATTCCCTCTCCCAACAGACAACAAGTCGTTCTTTGTTCTCTCAATGTCGGACAACGGGGCCCAGATCTACGAGCTGATGGCCCAGACCGTATCAGAGCAGAGAATGTGAGTCCTCCTGACACTGTGGTTTAGTCATTATAGCCTCTACTTAAAAATCCCATTTAAGTTTTGCTTAATTCACTGGAGTTGGTAGAAGTTGCCCCTAACCACTGAAACAGGGTCAGATGTTATCTGGTCCTAGGTCTGAGGTAAGGGACACCTTCTATCCACAGTCTACTCACCTCTGTCTTGTCTGTGTGTTGTCATCCTCCCTCCACCAGGTGGCAGCGGCAGATCACCCAGAGAGCGGACGCCATGAAAGTGAAGCCGCACAGCATCATCCACTTACCTCAAACGGAGTACGTGCTTCCTCTCAGTATAAAACTTATTTGGTGTCTTTTTGGTTTTGTTCATCAGCAAATGTATTTTATGATGACCATGACCTTGCTTCTCCTGATACTGACTTTGTTCTCTCCTACCGTGTCAGTGGAGAGAGAGACGGTGTGGAGATCATCACTGCAGGCGTAGCCCGACTCAGTAAGGACCCGGACCGCATCTCCTCTGGAAGCAGCCAGTCTATAGGTATCTAAACTAGCACCCCATCGCTCCATGTTCCCCCGTCTATAGTGATCAGTGTATTTGAGAACTTCTTCAGTAGCAGTTAGTGACATTGCGTAATGTGCAGTGGAGGCTGATATCACTTTAAAACCGAGGACAGGCTTATTTCAATGGCTGGAATGGAATGTATGAAATGGAGTCGATGTTTTTGATACCTTTCCATATATTCCATTCCAGCTATTACATTCCACCCTCCACCAGCCTCCACTGGTAACATGTTCCAGTAGTATCCATCTAGATTGACTGAATGCAGGTCAAGGTGTCCTTGTTCTCTCCCCAGATAAAGAGTGCAGCGCTGCCCCTTGTTGCGTGATGCAGACCCCTCTCCCAGATGCCAACCTCTTTGTAGGACTCAAGGCCGAGGAGGAGCCCAGTCGGGAAGAGGGGCTTTATGGGGACCCGGATCGTGCAAATAGTCTCCCCTTCCGCATGGCCGTAGACGGGCTCAGCGAATCGGACGGGCTGGGCTTCAGTACTTCTAGAGCTGACGATGCCTTAAAGACATGTGAGTGAAAGGACATCTGCCTCAATCGCCAAGGTCTCAAGTCTGGAGTGTGATATTTAGGGAGTCAAGACTTTTCTGACCAGGAAAAACTCTAGTTAGAGTTATATGAACCTTGTCAGGTCGGTTGGTCAGGGATAGCTCTCTGCCCTAAACATACATTACATATATCGATTTTATGTGGTGGAGAATCAATTCATCTAAAATCACACACGGACACTCCTCCATTGGTCTAACCGTATCTGTCTCCTCTAGTGTCGGCGCTGAAGCAGGTCCTGGTGACCCAGCTGATGTCGCAGGAGGAGTGTGAGCGTGCTGGGCGCACCTCCTCGGGGGGTGGGCCGTCTTCTCAGGACCACGTCCCTGAGGACCCCCGTGGACAGCCGTGCCCGGGTGGCGGTGCAGAACGGCTCAGGGAGGTGCACCCAGGCCAGCCACCCCGAGGACCCGGCTCAGGACCTGGTGTCTGGGGACACGGGCTTCTTTGAGTCCCCTGAGGATTATGGTGAGCTTGCAGTCGTGTGTGTGTTTGTGTGTGTGTGAGAGAGAGAGATCAGTGTTTTTTATCCTGGTCTTGGGGACCCATGGGGGTGCACATTTTTGTTCTAGCTCAGCACCAACACACCTGATTCAACCAACCAATCTCCCAATCCTTGCGTTGAATAAGGAGAGTGTTAGTGCTGGAGAAGAACAAAAATGTGCACCCCGGTCACCTTTAGGTTTCCCAGTATTAAAGAACCCTGTGCTAGATAACTTCCAGTGCGTAGGTGTGCTGAACAGCAGGGACTCAGCTTGGTCGTGTTCATTAGGGCACCTCGTAGCAAAACATTTTGCGACGAAAAACAAAAACGAGAATTTTCTTTCTATGGACAAGTTCAGGTAGTCCCTCGCTGTTTCAATCCGTTTTCATCCCTTTGGTGCCTAATAAGTTGGGACCTGTTTTTGCGTCTCCCAGCAGGGTACCTGGTCCTGGAGGGCTACGGAGGCTTGGGGGAGAGCAGCACGGACGACGACCTCCAGTCCACGGGGAAGCAGCTGAGCGCCTCACGGGGCTGCGGGGCAGGAGACTCTGGGATCAGCCTGAGGTTTTCCTCCGCCTCACAGGCAGGTAGCATCTGCAGCTTCAGCCGACAGGTCCTGTCCCACCTCCGCAACCTGCAGACCAACCTCAACCACCTCAAGGTATGCACACGTTGGTGGTGGGTGGGTGGGTTGGCTGGTTTGTGAATCACTGACTCACTGGTTGGTTGGTTGGTTGGGTGGTTATTTGGTTGACTGACTGACTGGTTGGTTGATTGGTTGACTGACTGGTTGATTGGTTGACTGACTGACTGGTTGATTTGCTTATTGAATAGTTGGTTGGTTGGTTGACTAACTTGGGTGGGTGACTGGTTGGTTGGTTGGTTGGTTGACTGGTTGACTGACTGACTGGTTGGTTGGTTGACTGGTTGACTGACTGGTTGGTTGACTGACTGGTTGGTTGACTGACTGCTGGTTGGTTGGTTGGTTGACTGGGTGGTTGACTGACTAGGTGACTGGTTGGTTGACTAGGTGACTGGTTGGTTGACTAGGTGACTGGTTGGTTGACTAGGTGACTGGTTGGTTGACTAGGTGACTGGTTGGTTGACTAGGTGACTGGTTGGTTGACTAGGTGACTGGTTGGTTGACTGACTGACTGACTGACTGACTGTTGGTTGGTTGACTGGGTGGATGACTGACTAGGTGACTGGTTGGTTGACTAGGTGACTGGTTGGTTGACTGACTGACTGACTGACTGACTGACTGACTGACTGACTGACTGACTGACTGACTGACTGACTGACTGACTGACTGCTGGTTGGTTGGTTGACTGGGTGGATGACTGACTAGGTGACTGGTTGGTTGCCTACATGACTGGTTGGTTGACTGACTGACTGACTGACTGACTGACTGACTGCTGGTTGGTTGGTTGAATGGGTGGGTGACTGACTAGGTGACTGGTTGGTTGCCTACGTGACTGGTTGGTTGACTACGTGACTGGTTGGTTGGTTGACTACGTGATTGGTTGGTTGGTTGATTAACCCTCTAGAGTCTAAGCCGGGGGGATTCTATGCGAACATGGAATTGTTTTAAGATGGTCATACCAAGGATCATTTGGCTATTTGATTTTAAGTTTTAAGACCCCTTAAGGTATAACCAAAAAGAAGTTAAACATTGAATTTGGCGTTCCTGCTATTGGCCGTTAGAAACGCATTGAATAACAGATTCACTACATGGAACAACAGGTAGTACAAAACATCTAAAGGAAGTTTGTTCTGAAGTGTCTGTCCTATATCTGAGAGATATAAGGAAGATCAGGAAACTATTTAAATGTTTTCTTTTTACATGTATTTATCCCCTTATTTTAGGCACTAAACTATCTCCATATATACTTCCATTCATTTTTTAAAACTGGTACCGGGGTCCTTCAGCCGAGCCTTGTGAGACTTGTGGGCATCCTAGATCAAAATGGAGAACGCCATCGTGTTCTCAATAGAGTGGTCATAATAGTTTTTAGACCAAACTGTTCGGACGCTACAGACATTTTTGTGAGAAGACCGATTTTCGGGATGTCTCATGGTCTAACAAACACCCCTCTAGCTCTGCAGATGCAGAAGGGCGATATCGGCGGATGCGGTGGATTGAGATGCAGCCCATGAAACAGATATCTCTAGCTTAAACATACAGGTTTTGGTGGAGATGTTTGTATTATGTTAATTAGATTCCCACAGGGTAGCGAAATTGTTAATTAGGTTAATTAGTAACGTTGATTGTACATTTTACGTTAATGCGTATGAAATCTGATTGCGGACTGTTCCCTGCTTGTCTGTTTTCTCTCAGGAGGTAGAGGCCAAGTATCACAGTCTACTACGCCTAAGACCGGCCAGGTCATCGACAGACGTGGAAGATAACAAAGGTAATATGGCTCTAGTCTTACCGATTCCTTTTCTCTCTTTCAGTGTTTCAGTATTTATTAGAAAACCCATGAGCATGTGAGGCGTGACAGCTGAGTTATTGTTTATGGTCTGACTGCCCTGGCCCTTTCTGTTATTATCTTGTTCCTAGATAAGAGATAGCCGCGGAACTCCAAGCCCCTCCCTTCCCAGGCCTCTGCATCATGCAGTGAAGATGGAAGAGTTGATTTCTGCCTCCCTGCTGTCTTGTTGTTCTGGATGTCCTCTATTAGCTTGTCCACTCAACTGCTGAGTACCCCCCTCCTCCCACCGTGGTTCTCCCCGAGAGACTGAGCATGAGCGAGAGACAGTTGGAGGAAGGGGGGATTTCTCTGGATTTCTCCCCCCGCCCCCTCCGTCAGCACAAGGCAATCAGGGAAGAGGGACTGTCCCGATTCCACTGCTGCGTGTCCCCACTCCAATTGCTGTGGGTCGCCCAGTGCCTCCCCTCCCATTTCTCTCTACTCCTAGTCATCCCTGCAAAAAAGAGAACTATACCAAAATGTACAAAGCTGTGTGTTTAGGATATATATTAAACACAAAAACAGAAGCGAGAAGAAAAAGGAACATTTTAAGATTATGTATTATGTTTTTTTTTATCTCAAGATGTATTTATTTTATTTTTTTGTGTTTTCCCATGTTGCTTGCATGCTTTTTTGGGCAATTTCGACCTCCTTTTAGGCTGCTCCACCTGCGTTAGTGCGCACACTATCCTATCCTTAATGAACACAGGAAGAATATGATTGGACTGAGAGGGCATAGTGGGCATAGAGTTGCACTTTGTGTGGAGCCCCCATAGGATGGTGTTTAAGTCAGGGGCTCTGTCCTGGTCCTCAGTGCATTTTTACACCTAGCTAAAACTCATCCCTCCCACTCCTGTTGGTAGTAATTCCTGGTTTCCCTCTCTGTTCTGTCCATGCTACTGCTGATGTGCCAGTGATCTGATAATGTCACAAAGTTCACACATTTATAAACTATCAAGTTGGAAGGTTACGCATAACTTTAATTAAAAAATGCCATGACACATTTCTTAACCTAAACACGGTTTATTCCTTTAGTCCTGTTCTCTTTGCTTAGTTTTATTCCCAATATGGCTTTGTGGTCAGAAATGGGGATAGACTTCAAACGTTCTCACCTTCCCTTACTTCTGACCCTGTAGATAAATCACTAAAACTATTTGATAAACAAGGAGACAAGATGGGACAGAACGAAACACCAAGTTACTTGGACTGCAGGACGTACTGCCCTGTGGCAGTGGGAGTTTTTTCAGCAGCCAATTTTCCGCCAAAGTGAGGTAACTATTGGAGGACAATGGAGTTAGCCTACTCATGAAATGTAACCATCATAGTAAATGTACAGCCCTTTTCACTACAGTTTTGCTCAATCCTGACCAATCAGGTAGGTAGTGAACAAAATAGTGCAGCCTATGAGTTTGACCATGTAGGAACATGTTGCTAAGCTTTTGTTAGGTAACTACATTTGGTTTGACCCATTAACAGTAGTTTTATATTTCTCAGATTTCGAATCCTCTTTTTTTATTTTTTTTTATTTACTATTACATGGAATACCATTACTTAATTAATCAAGAACAAGGCTATCAGGTTGTCCTTGTTCTCCTATATGAAGATGCAGTCACTTGACATACGCCAGTAGGGGGCAGGCTTTTACCATCTACCAGATAGACAGAAGGAGGACCCACCCTGAAACCTGCAATGACATCACTTTTCTCTGTCTGAAACAAGGTGTTCTTTTGCTGCTAAATTTGTATCTAGTCTATCATTGTATGATTCAGCTCAAAGTATCAAATTAAAGATTTTCTTCAGGCATCTGTCTGAAAGCTCAGCTACTGTCTGAAAGGTTGATAGCTAGATATCCCTGAGAGAAAATGCTATTGTACCCTGTTACTGCAAAGCAATGTAATGTCTGAAGAACTAAATCTGCTTTGGAGTTTGACTTATGTAGTTATCAAGGGTTTTGAGTTAGATCTAGACTGCCTGACAGTGTGTGCACATTACTTGATGATTTTACATCTCTTGCTGGAGAGGAAAGACAGAAGCCTCTACAAAGGGTTAACCCCTAATTACTTCTCCTTTGAGTGACACATCTCCTGCCTCTGCCTCTCCTCCTGAAGACATTCTGCACCGAAATGGAGACCGAGAAGAGAGAGGGATGGTAATTGATTGTCACACTTTCCACATGCATCTGTCAATTACCTAATTGAAGTTCTAGACAGAGGTGTGCGCTGTCACATCTGTTTGAGATATCGACAAGCCCATAGTTTTTCTTATTCTGCCTCTTGGCATAATATTAAGTTATTGTGCCAATGTATAAGATATATCCCTTGTGCCAAATGTATAAGATAAGATGGAAATAGGATCAATGACTGATCTATGAGTAAAGGTGTGTTGATGTCTACGAGTGACTGTTTTCTTCTAGCCATAAATATAAAATTATATCGTCTGTCATTTCCATTCGCCACCTTTTCTGCATCAGTTATTTTACAAAAGAGTGTGAAAAAGTTTCCTGCAAGGTGTATTACAAGGAGATTTGTGTCTCGAGTCACATCTTGACGATATCAGGCAATTTTCTGTTACTCAATGTCACCTAGAAGTGTGTCTGTTTGTGACATGCAGATAATTGTGGTGCTTTAAGTGTGGCTTAATTCGAAGATAAGTATGTTTGACGATATGACTCATTTGACGAGACTTGTGTGTGCGTGCTCAATTTTCACTCCGGCAACTGTGTGAATATTATAGATACAGTTGAAGTCGGAAGTTTACATACACCTTAGCCAAATACAGTGGGGGAAACAAGTATTTAGTCAGCCACCAATTGTGCAAGTTCTCCCACTTAAAAAGATGAGAGAGGCCTGTAATTTTCATCATAGGTACACGTCAACTATGACAGACAAAATGAGAAAAATTTTTTCCAGAAAATCACATTGTAGGATTTTTAATGAATTTATTTGCAAATTATGGTGGAAAATAAGTATTTGGTCAATAACAAAAGTTTCTCAATACTTTGTTATATACCCTTTGTTGGCAATGACACAGGTCAAACGTTTTCTGTAAGTCTTCACAAGGTTTTCGCACACTGTTGCTGGTATTTTGGCCCATTCCTCCATGCAGATCTCCTCTAGAGCAGTGATGTTTTGGGGCTGTCGCTGGGCAACACGGACTTTCAACTCCCTCCAAAGATTTTCTATGGGGTTGAGATCTGGAGACTGGCTAGGCCACTCCAGGACCTTGAAATGCTTCTTACGAAGCCACTCCTTCGTTGCCCGGGCGGTGTGTTTGGGATCATTGTCATGCTGAAAGACCCAGCCACGTTTCATCTTCAATGCCCTTGCTGATGGAAGGAGGTTTTCACAAAAAAATCTCACGATACATGGCCCCATTCATTCTTTCCTTTACACGGATCAGTCGTCCTGGTCCCTTTGCAGAAAAACAGCCCCAAAGCATGATGTTTCCACCCACATGCTTCACAGTAGGTATGGTGTCCTTTGACCGCTCTTTGGTCTTGGCCATAGTGGAGTTTGGAGTGTGACTGTTTGAGGTTGTGGACAGGTGTCTTTTATACTGATAACAAGTTCAAACAGGTGCCATTAATACAGGTAACGAGTGGAGGACAGAGGAGCCTCTTAAAGAAGAAGTTACAGGTCTGTGAGAGCCAGAAATCTTGCTTGTTTGTAGGTGACCAAATACTTATTTTCCATCATAATTTGCAAATAAATTCATAAGAAATCCTACAATGTGATTTTCTGGATTTTTTTTCTTCTCAATTTGTCTGTCATAGTTGACATGTACCTATGATGAAAATTACAGGCCTCTCTCATCTTTTTAAGTGGGAGAACTTGCACAATTGGTGGCTGACTAAATATTTTTTTCCCCCACTGTACATCTCAACATCAACTGTTCAGAGGAGACTGTGAATCAGGCCTTCATGGTTGAAAACCACTACTAAAGGACACCAATAATAAGAAGAGACTTGCTTGGGCCAAGAAACACGAGCAATGGACATTAGTCCGGTGGAAATATGTCCTTTAGTCTGATGAGTCCAAATTTGAGATTTTTGGATCCAACCACCATGTCTTTGTGAGACGCAGAGTAGGTGAACGGATGATCTCTGCATGTGTGGTTCCCACTGTGAAGCATGGAGGAGGTGTGATGGTGTGGGGGTGCTTTGCTGGTGACACTGTCTGTGATTTATTTAGAATTCAAGGCACACTTAACCAGCATGGCTACCACAGCATTCTGCAGCGATACGCCATCTCATCTGGTTTGTGCTTAGTGGGACTTTCATTTCTTTTTCCAACAGGACAATGATCCAAAACACACCTCCAGGTTGTGTAAGGGTTATTTGACCAAGGAGAGTGATGGAATGCTGCAGCAGATGACATAGCCTCCACTATCACCCGACCTCAACCCAATTGAGAAGGTTTCGGATGAGTTGGACGGCAGAGTGAAGGAAAAGCAGCCAACAAGTGCTCAGTATATGTGGGAACTCCTTCAAGACTGTTGGAAAAGAGAATGCCAAGAGTGTACAAAGCTGTCATCAAGGCAAAGGGTGGCTACTTAAAATAATCTAAAATACCATTAACATTTTTTGGTTACTACATGATTCCATATGTGTTATTTCATAGTTTTGATGTCTTCACTATTATTCTACAATATAGAAAATAGTCAAAATAAGAAATACCCTTGAATGAGTAGGTGTGTCAAAAATGTTGACTGGTAGTGTATGTTGAGCAAGGCACTTAACCCTAATTGCTCCTGTAAGTCGCTCTGGATAAGCGCGTCTGCTAAATGGAAAAAAAAAAGTAGCTCAATACCCCAAAGAAACCAATGTCAGATTGATCACACTGAGGATCAATACGCCCCAAAGATTGATTAATCTTTATCCTGCACCTTGGAGTAATCACACATCAATCAGTCTGTCACTGTTGCCGTGACAGCTCAGTCAGAGGTTTCTCGTCATTATATCTCCCCTAACAATGGGATTCATTGTCCACAGAGTGGAACGATGGGTGTCAAGCTCCCACCTGTTCCTCTCTTTGGATTCGTGGATACATCTCGTTATTTAAATACTTTTTTTAAATAATCGATGAGGGGATGTTGACGTCAACCGCCTGTATAATGGGGAGTAAGATGCTGTGCTAGCCTCATGAATATGTATAGACCGTCTCGAATTTCAACAGGGACAGCTGATATGAAGTTTTTTCTCAATGTTGCCGGGATGTCATGTGCATCAAAATTATATCAGTACACTTGTAACAACCTAAGCATTACGAAACTTCTATTAGATTAAATATATATATATTTTTTTAAAGTAAATAAATAATGTTTATCTTGACTAAATTCGACACTCATTGCCCTCCATACAAAAACTCACCTGCTTAATAATAATTTAGGATCTGCGTAGCGTGGACAGATTTTGGGCAGAAATAGGGCTCTTGCTTTGCCTCCCTCTCAGTCCCCTGAGTGGGCGTGGCCCAGTGGATATCAGGTGGCGAATCCCCATGCGTTTCCTGTGGGGTGGAGATGACATCAATGTTCTCGTTGTCTGGTGAGTGGGAGGGATGTTTTTTTCGCCGAGTTCCCAGTTGTCTTGAATGCACTGAAGTCGGAAGTCAGAGATTTTCTCAGTTCCCAGTTCCCAGTTCTTTTGAACGCCGCATGAGCCCTTAGCTCTAGCTCAATTCTGATTTCCTCGCATCCTCATCTCCTTCTCCATGTACATTGGACCTTGGACTTCCTCCTCCAATAAGGTGGAGGAGGATGCGAGGAATCGCAGAAACACAAATTGAGATTGAGCCCTTGTCTTGTTACCACACAACATAGTGATGAACAGTCCAGGCGGATAGCTCTTCCAGGGCTGTGGGTAGGATGTATGCCATGAGGCCCCTAGGTTCAATTTGCTTTGTAAGGAAGACTAAAGCAGGTCTAGGAGGACATAACCTTCAGGCCCTCCCTTTTTCAAGTGTGGCTTCTCACGCCACTGAGGCAGTATAGAAATCAATGACGCTTCCTGACTTTGGTGATTACAGTGGACAAGGAGGTGTTGAGGTGCATACATGCCGGTGTGGGTGCGCGCCTGAATGCGTGTGTGTATTTGGTTATAAGAAGGAGGCTGTGTCGTCAAGCCAGCTCAGCCTTGGATACTCTTAGCTTTGGCACAACAAATCAATAATGTGTGTGATCGTGCCTGCGTGTGTGTTTGGGGATATAATTAAGCAGCCGGACATATTGGTGGAGTCAGCTTCCTCCGTGAGCGATTTCTGTTGCGTTGTTACACATTGAGTTAAACAGTGCTTTGGCTGTCTAATTAAATTCTCCCATTCAATTGACTTCTCCTCGCTCCTCAGTCATGTGACAGGGGTCAGGAGGACTCCATGGTGGTGCCGCTAGAGTTTGTGATTGATTGGCTGTTTATCACTCTTGGTATTTAGCTAACACACTCCGAAGGAGGGAAAGAAAACACTTGACTGTGGCCCAGTCAGGTGGACGTGTCCTGGTGTCCCTATGTAGAGAAGAGGGCAAGCCTGTCCCCTCTCTCCCACCTCAAAGGTTCCAGGGCTTAGCTGTAAATAAAGGAGCGTTAATGCAGGTCTAGAATCTCATGAATTACTGGGGGAGACCTGGCGCAGGTCAGGTTATTTAATCTACCTGGAGCGCCTTGTTTCACTCTGCTCTGCTCCCACCGAGCTGTGATCAATAACGGTCAGATGCTAATGTCGACTTGGTCAAGAATCCGTCCAGAGAAAAAGAGGCTGGGAGAATAACAAAGCCAAAAAATCTCTATTTTGTTAGCTTGTCCGCATTCTCCACAACCCCCCTGCAGGCCAGACATTTAACTAGTCATTTGGAACATTCAAGAGGATCTCCTGCTGACTGGTTTAGCACATCTGACAGTGTCCTGCTGGAGCCAGAAAAGGCAGCCGATCCAGCGGTGCAAATAATCCTCTGGGCTAATGTTGGAGGTTAAAGGTGCCTCAGGCACTACCACCACCACTTACCTAAAGTTCAACCATTTTGGTTCAGGAGGAAATTATCCTGGTCAAGGGTTGTGATAATCCCACACTAAAGCTAAACCGTCTCACTTGTATCGGGGAGTGAGAATGCAAGGCCTGTCTGAGAATGTGGAAGGCCTACAGTGTATGTATATGTACAGTTGAAGTCGGAAGTTTACATGCACCTTAGCCAAATACATTTAAACTAAGTTTTTCACAATTCCTGACATTTAATCCTAGTAAAAATGCCCTGTTTTAGGTCAGTTAGGATCAACACTTTATTTTAAGAATGTGAAATGTCAGAATAATAGTAGAGAGAATGATTTATTTCAGCTTTTATTTATTTCATCACATTCCCAGAGGGTCAGAAGTTTACATACACTCAATTAGTATTTG